GCAATGAGCATGGAGTACTAAATGTCGTATGTCGTGGACCAATGTTCAGAATGTTTCTATCATTTGAACCAATGTCTTTTGAATTTTTTTTTTTTGAAAAACTTTGATGCATTCTATTTAAAAGTAACATAACTTTACAATTGTTAGAATGAATCTTACAATTGAGGAGAGTTTTATCATCATGAATAGTATTTTGGTAGAAAATAGAGAAAAAAGTGATTTGAGTTTTCTCTTTCTCCGATGTCCGGTGTTTTTACCGGCTTCGTGAGAGGGAGATGGTTGTCACCTAATGGAGCTTTAACGCTCGACATGGAGTGTAAGAGATTTTTCTATGAGAGTTTTTGGTTTGAAAACGATGCGATTTTAGTCGCCTTTTTAGATCTCATTTGTGATTCCCTTGGTTAGGTTTACTATATGATTTCTTTATTGGGTTTAATTTTTTGGGATGAAATTTTTAGTTGAAGTTTAGTTTGCTAGTTTCTAGTCAATTCTGGCTATCTATTTGATTTGAGTTTTGCAGTTCAAGTTGTTCAACGGCGGTTTCACTGAAACTAACTCGGAACAAATTTGAGAAAGGCAATTAAGTAAGGAGATTTATCTAAATTAAGAGAATTGTTATCATGTTATCGTAATAGATATTGGAAGTCCGGCTGCTATTGTGGATTTGAGAACACTTATTCTCTATCTTCGATTCGAAACAAGATCATCTTGGTATCGCTAATGGGTCGTTATCGATTATTGTCCTCACTTGATTTATGGTGTGGAAATGACCATTAGTTTCTCTTTGTATCGTATTTGTTAAACTTTTTCGTTGATGTAATCTGTTTCAAATCAGTTTCAATGAAATAAAGTGTTAAAAACAAAAATAGTATTTTGGTAACGAATTTATTTATTTATGGTTGGATGTTAATCGAAGAGGATAACAAAAATGGCGATACAAAATGGCGATATAATATTTATAACGTTGTTGATTACAAACCAATGTGATTCAAGGCATTAACAAGTTCACAAGTTAATTTAGGATCTAACAAGTGTAAAGCAACGAATTAACACTGTCTACAAATCATCAATAAGTCATATACAGCCTTATACTATGAAATCAACAGTAAGTCAATAAGTCATAGACAGAATGAAATCAACAATAAGCCAATAAGTCATAGACCGCTCTTATTGCTATGAAATTATAAAACTAGAAAAAAGAAAATCTATACTTAGTGATTTTGTTACTCACACGAAAAATAGAACAGTTATCAATAAACGTATATAAATTCTCCAAAAAAACTCACCAATACAAACAACAATCAATTCCTATTTCCTTACAACTAAAGAGCATCTCTATTGGGGTCTCTAGTAAAAGATCTCATTTAAAAACAAATCAAAACTAAAACCAAAATAGAAAATGTAGAAGAGAGCGAGAGATGACCACCTCCATCAAAGGGTTCTTAATACTCCTTCTGTTTTAAAATATAAGTTAATTTGGAGATTTTTTTATGTTCAAAATATAAGTTGTTTTGATAATCCTAGGTATTTTTAACTTTATTGATTATTGTGTGACCAATAGTATTCTGCAGTCGCTTTTTTCATTAATTAAATTATTTTTATTATATATATAAGATGATACTTTTTAGAAGAAAAATAGTTTCTTAATATTCGAACTTTAAGTCAAAACAACTTATTTTGAAACAGAGGGAATAATTTAGTTCTACAAAATAATAATTAAATATTAAAAGGGTTCTTAAAAGAGGAGAGAGGGTATCTGAAGTATCTTGTTTAAGAAACTTTGGATGGTGAGTTTTTTAATTTTAATAAACTTATACAATATTATATTACTACTTATTTTTTTAATATATTTATAGAAACCCTCTTAAGAACCATGGATTGAGGTGGTCTAAAGTTTCTTATTTAAGAATCTCTCTTCTCTTTTGAGAATTCCTCCTAATATTTTATTTATATTTTGTTTTATATAATTTTTACCCCTCTAAGAACCTTAGAACACTTTTAACCCTGATACTTTAAGAGTATCATTAACAAAAAAAATAAAAAAAATAATTATTAAAGAGCTTTTGGTGTTGAATCGTATCAAGAGAAATGAGTGATACGGTTCTTCGAAGAGAGAGAAATGATTAATAATAAATTAATGTTTAAGATACTTTTAAAGTATCACCTTTAATGACACTACAAGAAAACAGGCAGTATACCAACGAAATTTCCGACGGACGTAATATCCGTCGGAAATTTCCGACGACATACCGACGGATTTCCGAGCAAAATTAGTCCGTCGGAAATCCGTCGGTTTATTGTGATGGATTTCCGACGGCCAAAGAATCCGTCGGTATTCCGTCGGAAATCCGTCGCCCCGTACCGACGGATTTCCGACGGAAAAAAGATGTCGTAATTTTCCGACGACTTTCCGACGGAATAACGACTTTCCGATGTCGGCAAAGTTTGAAAAAGATGTCGTAATTTTCCGACGACTTTCCGACGGAATAACGACTTTCCGATGTCGGCAAAGTTTGAGTGGTCAGCTCATACCGACGGAAATAAATCCGTCGAAAATCCGTCGGTATGTCGATG